CTGATCCCTCTTGCTTTAAAAATCACAAACTCCAGTAATCCAATCCACACACTGACCTTCAACCTCTTTAAATATGTACCACAAAATGAGATAGCCCCTTTCTGTTGCCCAGTCTCCAAAAAGAGTGCTTTAAACCTCACCTGGTAAAAACAAGCCTGTAATCTCGGTTACTTAAAAGACTAAAGCAAAAGGAAAACAAGACCGAAACTATCTTGGGCAACCTCATGAGAGTCTGTCTCAAAATTAAAAGGCAACTGGGATGGATGTGTCTCAACACTGGAGGACTTTGCCTAGCCTGCTCGAGTCCCTGCGTTTGATCTCCAATAAGCAACACTACCCCAACCCAAAAAAAAAAAAATTCTCCAATTCCCTATTTGTCCCCTAGCCTGTCTTAACCAATGAGTTTTAATTCTATTTCTTTAAGACAACAGAAGCTACCAAGAGCAAACTTTCAGAGACTGGCCACCATCTCTGCCGACCCACCAGCACCAATCGTAAGTGACTCTGACTTTCTGCCTATTTCTATAGCTGATAAAGTGTGAAGTCGGCTGTTTACTGGGTGTTAGCTCACAGCTTTAGGCAGCTGCTTCCCAACTGCAAGGAGTTTGAAGAACTTGATAACAATGTGATGATACAAAAGATTTTAATTTTACTCATTAAAGACAAGTCTAAAAAAAGAAGCAAAGATCTGTACAGCATTTACAACTGGTCATGGCCCGTAACTTGACTCACAGTTATATCACCAACTGGCTTAATGATTTACACAAGTTAGTAAACAGAAAAACATTGTCTCCTGTAAATAATACCACTGTATTGAAGCCTGGATATCCAGCATCATGTAAAACATATCTGGCATGTATTCTCTTCATGTTTGTTTGTTTGTTCTCCCTTTCAGATTTGTTAATTTTACATGGGGAAAAGGAACAAAACAGGGCTTGCAAGATGGCTTGCTGCCAAGTCTGTCTACCTCGGTCCCTTCCCCTAGGCCCACATAGTTGAGGGAGATTTTTAAGACGAGACACCCATAAGTTGTCCTCTGACCCAGATATGTGCTTCATGGCACACACATGACCACTGAGACATGTACATACACAGAAAGAGAGAGAGAGAGAGAGAGAGAGAAAGAGAGAGAGAGAGAGAGAGAGAGAGAGAGAGAGAGAGAGAGAGGAGATAAATATTTAGAAAATTAATAAGGAAATAAATTATATCAATTCTACTCTATGAGAGGCAGAGAAATATCAATCTCTACATCATCCCTAAAACATCCATGTCTTATTCCCAGAAACTGTAACTATGTTTCTTTCCTGGAAGGGAAGACTGTTTTATCAGATGCAATTAAAGATTCTGATATGGAGCAATTGTTCTGGATGTTCTGGTTGACCTTGTGTAATCACAAGATCCTTCAAGAAGAAAGGGGAGTCAAGAAAATGTATCTGCAGAAGAAGTCACTGTGACTAAGTGTGGGACAGACTCCACCCATGCTGGGGCTTGAAGATAGTGGACCAGTGACAGTGACATTGGGCAGACTCTGTAAGCCAGGGAAAAAGTGGGGGAAGTAGGTTCTCCCCTTACAGCCTCAAGTACAGGAGCTCAGATCTGCTGACCCCTTGATCCACCCAGTGAGGTCCAGGCAAAACATCTAGGTTTTTAAAATAATAAATTTTTAGCTCTCTAACCTACTTAATTTCTGGCACTCTAACAGTTATAAAGTAAGTAAGAGATGTACCTCCTACCCATAGCCACATGTCTTACCACAACCTTGCCTGCTCCTGCTCTAACCATATAGCCACTTTCTACTTTAATCCTCCCATGGGTAGAAGTTTAATAAATTGTAACATTATAATTTATTAAATAATTTATTATAAAATATTTTATATAATTGTTTATTATAAATAATCTATTAGGAAATATTCTAATTTATTATTTAATAATCGTAATAAAATTATAATTTATTAATTATTTGAGGACACAGTCTCCATTAAAATTCAATTGCAACTCTTCACAGAAATTGAAAAAAATATAAATTTTACATGGAAACAAAAATGACCCAAGATAGCCTAACTAATCTTGAACAACAATAATAATAATTTTAAAAACCAGCTTTAGGAGGTATAAACATCCCAAATTTTTAATTATACTGCAGAGCTACAGCAATGAAATAGTTGTGGTATCAACATAAAAACAGACTCAATGGAATAGAATTTATAACCAAATATAAACCCACACTTCTAAGGCCACCTGATTTGTTTTGACAAAGAGGCTTAGTATTGGGAAAACGACATTTTCAACAAATGGTGCCGGTCAAACTGGATAGCTACATGTAGAAGAATGAAATGCAATCCTTAGCTCTCACCTTGCACAAAACGCAACTCCGAATGGTCAGGAACCTCAACACAAGACCTGCTCCAGTACATCTGATAGATGAGAGAGGAGGGAATACACTTGACCTCACTGGCACAGGCGAGGACTTTCTCAACAGGACCTAACACATCTCATAAATGGGACATCAAGAAACTAACATTTTTCGTTCACCAAGGGACCTCATCACTTGAGTGAAGAGGCAGGCTACAGAACGGGCAGTCACCCTTACCATCTATACGTCTCACAGAGGATAAGGATCTGGTGTATAATATGAAAGGTAACATTGCTGAAACTTCTTTCAGTACCTACCAGGGATCTCATGAGTAAAGGCCCCTGCTGCTTGAGAATCTGATTTCCAGCTCAGAGATACACGATGGAGAAAGCTGGCCTCCACAAATTCTCTTCCAACATACACACACACAGACACACACACACACACACACACACACACACAGAGAGGGGGGGGAGGCTTACAAAGTAAGTAAACATGATGTTTAAAACATTAATAATAGCAAGCTAACTACCAATAATCATCTCTTTCACCTTCCTGACCACAGATGAATTATAACCAATTAGCTTCCTGCTCCTGACTTAATGATGCGTCCACCAGGATGGTCAGAACCTTCAAACTCTAATCCAAACTAAACCCTCCTTTCCTTAAGTTGCTTTTGTCAAGAATATTGTCAAGCAATGCACTAGAGAGCAGACTTTGTCCCAACAGCCTGAGGTTCCATGATGGATTCACTTGCATGTGCTTTCCTTTTCATTCTTAAGACATATCCCTTGCTTGGTACCATTATCTTCTTTAAAATTCTGTGACTGGGCCATAAAACTAGAAGACTATCTAGAGACCACTGCTACCCCCCAGTTAGCTTTTACTCACGAGCCTAATAAAATTCCTTGCATGAAAATTATGTGTTTCCTCTCTCTAGTCCCCACTACCAGAGCTGGGGGTGTGGATAAAACACATCTCAGCATGTCCATGACCCAGGGTACAATTCTCAGCAATGAAAAAGAAAAGCAAAGGAAGGAGGGAAGAAGGGAGGGTTGGAGGGAGGGAGGGAGGGAGGGAAAGAGAAAGAGAGAAAGAGAAAGAGAGAGAGAGTACTCCAATTACCATCTTACTTGCTATAAAAAGCCAACACCTCCACACAAACAAGGGTGGAGAAAGGTAACATTGCTGAAATTTCTAGAATGTGTCACACACAGGGGCAGGCATTTTCATAGCCATCACCTTCCTCTCCTTTGTACAATATAACAAGGCATTGTTATATTCACTTTATAGGAGAATGAAATAGCAGACACAAGTAGATCAATAGCATGCCCAAGACACCCATCAGAGACTTGACACAGTCATCTATATGTCTCCAAACCATGCTTCTTTTCTCTCCCCCAAATTCCTGGACCCAGAAGCTTAAGGATTCAATTCAGTCTTTGCTTTTCATATCCCACTTATGCCACTGTCTTGAGACACCTTTGTATGTAAAGTAAGGTGATAGATACTATTCTGTACACACCTGATCATCTCCTGTTTACCAAGTTTCAATACTCATTGTTTGTTTATCAGCTGTGATCTGTTCATTGCCAACTTATCATATCCTGCACAGAGAGCTGGTATATCTTAAGAGGCCCTTCCCCAAGGGAGCTGTGGGTCGTAGCAGGGTGTGTGAGCATCACACCCTGATTGCATAGTTCAGAGAAGCTATCCATTTGGGCTGGTGTTCTAAGTCTGTGGAAACCAGTGGCCACTCCCTGGGCAGAGCCCCTATGCTATCTCTTGAAGAGTTGGGTGGAAAACGAAACACGGAGTGAAAGCTGTCCCCTGCATCTCATATTTGTGTTGCAAACCTTAAGCCACACCTCTTAAAGAAAAAAAATAACATGCAGAAATGGGAGGTGATGGCACACTTGGATACAATAGGTAGATTAAAATAGATCTGGTTTTCAAGAGTTGGAATGGAACCATATCCACTCAACCACTGACTTATGCATAGATATGACAATTACCAGGAGAGAGACGCTCCTGAGAGGAAATATGCAAATGGGTTGTTCAGAGATGTAATATTGCTGTCTTAAGCTTGTCCCTAGATGCTGTATTCAAAACAGGAAATTTATTCAAAAGCTTGTGTGGCACACTCCTGACAGATGTTCCCTCTAGTCCACATTGCTGGCCCGTCCACATGCTCCTGCTTGGTTATGCATCAGGGTTCTCTAGAAAAATGGAACTTAGAGAAGGAAGGTCCAAGATTCCAATAGTTGTTCAGTCCAGGAGACTGGGTGGCTCAACTGGTCTTCATTATGTGCCAGAAACCTGAAGAAGTAAGCTCTAGTGCCAGTGAAGGGATAGGCTTGCTAGTGAGACCTAGAGCAAGCAGGCAAAGAAAGCAAGCAAGCTTCCTTCTTCCAGGTCCTTTATATAGGCTGCATGCAAGGTGTGGCCCAAATTAAAGATGCATCTTCCCACCTATAAAAGATCTAGAATAAAGGTGAGTCTTCACACTCAGAATTATTTAATTAAGAAAAAGTCCGGCCCCACTGTTTCGACCTCTGCGGCCTCCGCCGCCGCTGCCTTGAGAGAGGAAGCGGGAGAGGAAGAGCGACCTGTCACCTATATCCACGCAGCACTGCCAGGAAGAAAGATGTTCGCCTGTGCCAAGCTCGCCCGCACACCTGCTCTGATCCGAGCTGGATCCAGAGTTGCATATAGACCAATTTCTGCATCAGTGTTATCTCGACCAGAGACTAGGACTGGAGAGGGCTCTACAGTATTTTAATGGAGCCCAGAATGGTATGTGTCAGCTGATCCGAAGGGAGTTTCAGACCAGTGTAATCAGCGGAGACATTGATACTGCTGCCAAATTCGTTGGTGCTGGTGCTGCAGCAGTAGGAGTTGCTGGTTCTGGTGCTGGTTTTGGAACCGTCTTTGGCAGTCTTAACATTGGTTATGCTGGAAACCCTTCACTGAAGCAGCAGCTGTTCTCATCTGCTATCCCGGGATTTGCCTTGTCTGAAGCTATGGGTCTCTTTTGTTTGATGGTTGCATTCTTGATCTTGTTTGCCATGTAACAGAAATTACTGCCTGAAACGTTGGCATCATTCATAGTAATTACGGATGTAATTCTGTGTATCTTTCTGTGACTCCGAAGACTGTAGTTACTGGTGTCATGGAAATATATGTTATTTCCAAAGTCATTTCATTAAAGATGAAAACTTTAAAAAAGAAAAGAAAAGAGAAAGAAAGAAAAGAAGAAGTCCCTCACAGGTGTGCCCAGGTGCTTGGGTTTCAGTTAATTCTGGATATAATCAAATTGACATGGAAGAATAGCCATCACAGTTACACGGGATCAACCACTTTCCTCTAAAATGGAAATTAGTCCTGTACTCGTCACTATCTGTCCTGGGACATGTAAGACCAAAACCAGTGTTTCCAGGAAAACTTGGGGTTCCCTTTCATGGTTCCTTGGCCTCAATAATAAAAGGATTTAGAAAAGGACTTGGAGGGAAGCTTTCGGCCAATTTTCTTAGAGAAAACACACACACACACACACACACACACACACACACACACACACAGAGGATAGGAAATCTGAAGTTCCCAGTGTCAGTTCCAAAAGGAACTAAGGGCAAATAGCTAACTGTGGTACTTATTAGAATACCAAAGTGTCTCTGGACTCCGGGCTCACTTATGACCAGTCTCCTCTCAGCTGTCCTCACCCCACCCCCACCCTAAACTTCTGCAGCCTGTGGGCTTCCCTCTCCTCAGTTTCTCATTCCTATATAACCCTGCCCTTCTGGCCAGGTGCTCTCTCGGCCCCCTCTCTTTTGGTGCCTCTCTCTCTACCCCGCCACCACCCCTTCTCATGGCCAGCTTTAGTCTGCTAACCATGTTCAGTGGACTACTTTCTCTCCCTGCTCTGGATGATTCCAGACGCCTATGGCTGGACTCTCCCTCGTGTCTATAATAAAGACCTTTTCCTCAACCATGCCTGGGAGTGGTCGTGTCAGGACTTGGAGATGAAGAGAGAAAGCCTATGGAATCAGGGTCTGGGAACTCTGTCATATTCGACAAAGGATGCCAGCAAGCAGCTTATGGTGAAAGGGGGAGGGGCTTTAGAGAAAGACAGAGAAAGCTGAGTGTCATGCAAATCACTTAGACTTTGACCGGTATCAGAAAGAAAAAAAGAGTCTCTGTAGATGGCTTCGTAGAAGATGGGCCTCTTGGAAGGATTAGTACATTATCTCATTAAAGGGATAATTATTTTTCCCATCTATTTAGGATGTCATTAGAAGAACCTTTCTTTAGGAGCAGACTCTGGCCAGGTGACTGACAGGCCCAGTTTTGGAGCAGATCAAAATGTCTTCCTCCACCCAGGACCAGAGGTAGATTCGATTCTTTTGAAAGGAAATATGAGGAGGAGAATTAGGATGTTGAAACAAGAGGCAGGTTCCAAGGATAGCCCTAAAGGAAAGCCCAATTCTGAATGCCTCCAAAGCTCCCTATCTCTGTCTGGATAGTTAATACAAGCCCCACAACCCCAGGCAATCTCAGTTTTCCACAGTCGGCCACATTCTCTACAACACACAGGGCTCTCCTCATGGGCCAGACTGTTCTGTTCTTAGTCACCGACAAATGATTGCTTGAGTCTCTTTCCCCTTTCTGAAGAGTTCGAGTGCTCCTCCTTGCCTAAAACAAGCACCTACTGTATCTATCCAAGTCCTTTCCAGCCTTTAGACAGGGGCTGGTTGCCCCCTCTCTGACTGCATTGTGCCTAGACACCTCTGACCACATCAGTTTCTTAGGATGTTCTCTGATGCACAAGACACTCGTTACGGTAAGTGTTCATGTAGTAACTCAATGTGGGCCCAGTTTTTCCTGTCTGTTTTGGTTTGCTGTTGTTGTTTTGTTTTGTTTTGTTTTGTTTTGTTTTGTTTTGTTTTGTTTTGTTCATAGTTTCTGTTTGGTCACAAAGCAGAGACTGATAAGAGACTGATTGATTTAGAATCTCTGGGACGAGAAAGAGGGCTTTAAAAGTCTCAGAAGCATCCCCAGTGGTATTCAGCACACGTGGTTCTGTTATTTGTGGCGGTCCACCCTGTGTAGGTTCAGTTTTGCTAAAACACTCTCAAAAACTGAAATTTGTTCTAGCTTGATGGATATTTCTGATTAATTTGAGTGTAACATGAATTTTTCTTCATGGGGTTGTGTTAATTAACTAGACAGTGATTGGTAGCCTTGGGGGCTGTAAGGAACATTGGGTAAACATAGAAAACTGCACATACATAAACCAAGCCACGGAGGAAAATATAAATCACATACATAAAAACACACATACAAGCCAGGCAGTGGTGGTGCACGCCTTTAATCTCAGAACTTGGGAGGCAAAGGCAGGTGGATTTCTGAGTGCCAGGCCAGCCTGGTCTACAGAGTGAGTTCCAGGACAGCCAGAACTATACAGAGAAACTCTGTCTCAAAAAACAAAAAACAAAATAAAATAAAATAAAATAAAATAAAATAAAATAAAATAAAATAAAACCACACATACATATAATACATATACATTACACATATACATTTATACACATATACCACCCACATCATGCACATATATATATATATATATATATATAT